TCGAGCAGTTCACAGTTCATGGCTCTTCCATTAACCTGCCGTGACGCAAGACGGGATGACATCAAGCGAGGTGCAAAAAGCCGATTGACCTGTTTGGCACGAGGGGTATCGGTGCTATAGTGACTGCTAGTGCTGCTGAAGGTGAAGGTGAGCATGTTGACCTTTTGTTTGCTTCAGATGCAGTGTTGTTCGATGTGATGATACTGGCTATTGCGGTCTTCGGTCTGTCCCGATCATCGCCGCCCTCCAGCGACTTGACCGATGCTTCGCATGCCAAAGGTCGTAGATGATCACCTCACCGCCCTTGGTAGATGATCCGGTTCCTTAACACGTTCTTGACCACATGGCACACGTGCCCTTCCCTCACGTGCCCTGCTGAAGCCTTCGTCCAGCTGCGCACTCCGGCTCCGCAGAGGCTCCCGGTGTCACCCGACTCCCTGGGGACTCACGCGTCCGGTGCCAGGAGGGTGTCCTCCCGCAAGAGCTGATCTTCAAACCGATGGAGGCCTTCCAGGCAGAGCTTGGCAGAGAGGTAGAGAGCTTGGCAGTGAGTGGCGGGATTTTGGGGATAGTTTAGGGGGTCTTCATGGGAGATGTGGATGTCAATGGTTCAATGGTGGGTTTTCCGAAAGGGATTTGGACACCAGCAGGTGTCTTGTCTCAGTTGGTTCTATAAGTTCTATAGGTCGTGTTTATAAAAAGAATTTCCCTTCGAAAAGGTGATGTTTAGTCAGTGAAAGTCTAAAGAGTCTAATGTTTTTTTCCCAGGACTTCAGCCTTGGATGGGCGGATCGAAGACGTTGAGACGTTGGACCGAACAAACGTCGGAACCATGGAGCCTAGTTCAATCATCTTCAATCGATGGGCGGAGGCTGCTAGTCCACCAAGGAAAACACACAGACCTGGAGGCTGCGTTGTGTAGGCTGGGTGATTCAAGTTAGCGGTCTACCGTCTAAGTCGGCGTACCATGGCGTACCTACCCTTCAGATGATGCATCCGCATGTCCATCATGGCCCTTTTCCAAGCTTCACCCATTTCCATTGGCTCCTGGAGAACCACACCGCGTCTCTCACCAGAACCTCTCACCGCGTCCAGGAGAAGAACCTCTCTCCTCGCTTGGTGAAGCTCCGGTACGACTTCTTCGAGGCCAAGCGCCGCGACCTCCTCGCGGCCGCGCGGCGCGCACGCGACGCGCTGCTGGCGGACGAGAAGCGTGAGAAGGTGGCCTGGGCAGCAAGGAGGGCGTGCGCGCGAGGGGATAGTGGGTGAGTTGGTGGGGGGATGGATGCCGATGGGAAGGAAGACTCACGGACTGGACATGTTTTGCAACAGGTGGACGGGCAAAGATGCAGGGGACGGGCAAGGGTGAATGGAAAGGTGAGGCTTTTGTCTAAGCTATTCTAATTGGTCAACTATGCACCTTTAGCCGATAAATGAGTATCTAACAGGGGTCTTGTAGTGGGTCAAAACCGAGCTCCAAACCCTGGTAGGTTGACCGTCTGTTCATGTTCGGTGGTCGTCCTGGTTGGGACCCACTGCCGCGATGTTGATTGTCGAATACCACAGTTAGGCGCCTGATTCCGATGGTTCTATATCTCCGTCATCGAGGCCTCCCTCCACCTGAATTCGACGTGTGGGCGTCGACTTGGGGGTTTTGGAGGGCGGACGGTGGGCCTTGTACCTGAGAGGTTTTACTTAAGAAACTTAAGAATCTTAAGACTCAGGATTTTGCTCCGCCAAAGTGATTGGCAACGCTTAGTGGAAAGCATTGGAAAGCAAGTTTTTTACCTGGCTGCATTTGTCACGAGCGGGAAGTGCAGGTCCAAGAGGTTCTTGGTATTTGATCTCCAATGTGTGAAACAATGACGGTCGCACGCTGGAAGGGCAAAACACCTGCCTGCAAATGCTTGCAACCTGCATGTTCCCCCACCAATGTTTGTAGAGTTGACCTGTGTGATATCACATGCATATCAATCATAGGCTGACGGAGGAACCGTGGTTCCCACTCAGATCCGCTGTTTTTTTGGCACCGCATATATCGATCTTGGGCGGTCTTGACTCCGGTAACTCCGATTTGCGATCCGCTGAGGAGAGCAATGATCAGGCGCTGGCCCTGGTGGCCAAGGACCTGGTGGCTGTCGTGAGATGCGTCGGACGCGGCCGTCCTGGGATGAGCACTGACTCCCAATCGAGAGAAGTCGTTCTTTTTGGGGGCTATGGCTGGGTTTGCACCTTTGGGTTCGCTTTCTTGAGCAAAGTTGTGGCCCAACTTTGGCCATTTCACCTGCAGAGTGAGTGTGCTACTTCGCATGTTTCAGCATTGCTCGGCCAGATGTTCAACAGCACACCCCACCCAAGTCCACTTCAACTATTTTCCGGCCAACACCCATCACACCAACCTCCCTTGGCACCCCAGGTGTCAGGGACCACCCTTGCTTAGCCTTGGGGAGTCCTTTCAAGGAGAGTGGCTTGTCCAAGGGCGCCGTCTTGGCGCTCAACAGCGATACCCTAAAGATGGAGCGCCAGAAGCTCTTGAGAGCTCAGGCCCGCAACCTCCGGAACCGGAACCGGGTGGGAACCGGTAGCTGGAGGACCAGGGGACGCACTCTCCCTAACTGGCGCATAACGGGAGACTCGGTAGCTTGAGGAAGCGGCCGTCGCGGTATGTCGCGGTCAGCTGAAAAGATCTTCAGACTTGCGCCGGTCTTGGGACTTGGAAGACTTAGGCTTCTCCACTCAAGAACAGGTGGATCAAGGTTTAACGTGAAAAGCATCCCTGGAAGAGGGAAGGGTAGGCTTCCAGGGAGTCAGGAGACACTGTGGGCGACCTTTGTGGGTCGAACCGCCTTCAACGCAGGGGCCGGGACGCCGTCTTTGACGTGTTCAGGTCGTTCATGTGACGTGCCAGGAAACGGAAAGGAACTGGCTGAAGAATGCGCTGCAGTGTGAGCTGAATCAATTGATCCTTGGAGCTGAAATCGTTGATCTACGTCGATAGAGTTGGCCACCCATTTCTAGGGCGCCTCCTCCAGGGTGGGCCAAAGGCGTCCTGCCGTTTTGGAGGACCGCCAGGAGTCATAACCCACCACCATGGGGATAGCATACAATGAGTCACCCATGGTGTCCTTCCACAGTGGAAAGCCAGCGTGTAGTCAGTTGTGACCAGCGAGTTCTTAGTGTGATATGACACTACTGGGAGTCCCCGGCGGGAGTCCCCGCGGGCTAGAGAAAGAATTTTCCACAATTTCCGGTGGTGAACATTTGGGGGGTTGGCCAAGACTCGTTCGACGTGGATTTGAGCCAAAAGTTCTGAGCGGGGACTGCCCATGGCAAATAGGAGCGTGTGTTTTGCTGACGCGCAATATGATCATGTTGATAATATATTGATACAACCCCATACAGAGATGTGACACCATCTCGGTGTAGGGGTGGGCCCTGGAGTATCAATCACTAATTACAAGTGTTCTATCAATTCAACCAGCCGCCGACTACATGTGTTCACCGGCTCAGGAAGCAACTCGAATCTGCCAATCAATTCCTCTCCGAAGAGTCCAAGACTCCTGGTGCACCCAGAGGGCCCAGCGGGGGCGGAGCGGAGCTAGGTGAGTCGCGATACGGTTGGTGCGTTTTTTCATGGGCGGTCCCGATTGAACACCCAGAGAACAACTTTGTAGAGTCAGACTAGAGATGGCTAGATGAGGGTACTTACATGTACTCACACAGTTGTTACAGTTACAAAGTCTTTTGAAAGCTCTTCAGCCGGGTTTAGGGGGGCTTTGGACCCACTGGTGCAGAGTTTTGTAACCTTTCTGGAAATGCATAGGTGCATGATTTGATACAGGCAAGGCATTGACCCCAGGGCAAAGATTCAGGTGTTTTCAGGTGTTTTTATTTTTTCCAGCCAAGCTGTTCAGTTGACATTTTGATGTGGCCCATCTTTCTTGTCCTTTTGTTGCCCTTTGCAAGGGAGCAAATGTTCTGAGCGTCGGGAAACAAAAATAGATCTGCAATCCCAAAGCCGATGCGTTTCGGTTGCGATTGTTTAGTATTAGAATTTGAAACTATGGAGCCATATCCAGGAAAGCTGGTGGGATCTTTTTAAGGTGTTTTCAAGGACTCCTGTAGCTGGGGACTGTTTTTGTTGGACTGGAAGAATGTGGGCCATCTCCAACCCCAAAGAACTGGAAAACCCTCTAGATAGAAATTGTTGGCTGAGCAATTGCAGTCGAAGCACGTCGAAGCGCTTCCAATGTTTGTCTTCAGGTTGTGGACCATAGGTATGGTATTCGTGGTGTGCAGGTGAGCCCAACTAGCTTTATGGATCCGCCGAACTGGCTGGGCCTAGCCTAGTGGGCCTAGCCTATAAGTCAGGCAAATACAGTATGAGTGGATCACCAGGATGCAGCACCTTAAAAAGGGATCGATTTTTCTTCCCATCACCTTGAGGGATTTTCGGATGTTTTCAACATTTCAACAAGTTAATATATCTCAGACCATCCCATGATGCACAAGTTGTGAACCAGAGCAACCAGACCTTGAAACAAAGTTGGATCCGGAGTCCAGAACAGTTGGACCATGACTCATGACGTTCTTTGAATTGACCTACCTGAGCATGTTTTTCCTATGTTTCTTGGTTCGTTCGCTGCTCCGCTTGAATCGAACTCAGGAATCAGGAAGATGCCCTGAGAGAGCACTCCAGGAAGATGAAGGACTTCAAGCGCCTGGTTGACCCCAGCCCTCCCAAGAGGATTGTTCTTCGTGTCCAAGGCATTCCGACCCTCAAATCCATCCTGAAGACTCTCGAAAGGAAGGTCGTTGGAGCTCTATGAGGTCCGTGGATCGGTTTTGGGATGTTTTAGAGGATCTTGTTAGGATCCTTTAGTCTTCGGTTAGTCTTAGGTGGATCGGTTTTGGGGATTGGTTAGGATCGCTATTTCGGTTAGGACGGTCAGGATCTTCTCTGACAGGATGTTTTTGTTTATTTTGGAGGGGGTTAGCTTCTGTCAGAGCTTGTTTCAGATCTGAAGTCGAACATTTCCTGTGTACGGCCTTCCAGCGCTCGGGGTGTGAAGTCTGTCGCCGTTCCGTGTCGAAACGGAAACGATCCCGTCCAGGAGCTGAACGACAAGCGGGCCGCAGAAGAAGAGCGGAAGCAGCTGGAGATGGAAGCGAGACAGATACCTGGCAATGAACAAGTTGGGGAACATCGGGAGACATGGGCTTTCCAATGGGATGGTTTTGGAGGACCAAAGGCACATGTTGGAGGGTCTTTACTTTACTCTGCACAAATCATCAATTGTACTGGCAACGCTGTGATGTTCTGTAATGCTATATATATATAGGTACACAGTATCAGTATACCATGACACATGTCATGACCAATCATGATATCAGCCTTGAACATCCTTGCACCTGCTGTGCTCTTCCAACGGTGGAAGATTCATTTTGAGGGGCACTGTGATGTAGAATCATTGAAGGCTGATCCTGTGGTGCTTTGGGGATCACACTGGTGCTTTTAGTATCTTTTAGTGGGAAGCCCCTTTCGCTTTCGGGCTGCAATGCTGATAGGTTGCAACCATGTTGAATTTGCCTCCTCTCTTTTCCACCCACCGAAGATCTTGCTTTTAAAGTCGTGCGATTAACCCATTGGAGCACTTGGCGGCTCAAAACGGGAGACCAGGCAACCCCTTCAGTTCGCTTCGGCCAGGATGGGCCAGGGGACCTCTCAAATTCAAGTGCACACAACGCTGGCAAATCGAAACTTCCTTCTCCAACTGACTCCTACCAAGCACCGTCCATTCTTCCACAGACACCGAGAATGACTGGGGCGCAAAAAGGGGCGTTTCACGACTCGTTGCTCGAAGGAAGCTGGAGAAGCAGCTGGCCAAAGAAGAGCAGCTTGGACGTTTACATCCGGGACCTGCATCTCTTTGAATCGGATCTTCAGCCTGGTGGGTTTGGTGTGTTTGGCGGCATTGTGACCGTGTGTCAATAGTTTGGGTTTCTGGATGGCCGTTCGCCAAACCGTCAAATGTTCCAAAGATCACCCCGAACTTCGAAACCTAGAGACCCAGACCATCCATGGGACTGGAACAATGAGTGACATACATTCACCAGTACATTAACCCCAGTGATGACCGATCCATGTATACAATAAGTAACTCTTCCGTGCATGGATGGTCTGGGAGAGGTTGAACAGCCCCCCCCAAACTCGCCTCAACCATCCTCAACCTCTCTGTACCAGAACTGCTGTCTCGGATTTCTTCGACTCGTTTTCGCCGCCGCCTGGTCCGGTGAGCGAATGGATCACATGCCCGCAAACGGGTGGATCCCCAGCACCACCCCTGGTGGCTGGAAGGGGCCGCCTTGGTGGAAGGTCGAGTGTACAAGGTTTTGGGGGGGTCCATGGGCTTGAGAGGGTCCCGCAGTGAAGCTTGAGCCAGAAACTGGAGAGGCCAGATTCTCTTCGAAGCTGTTAGAAGGATGCAAGATGGCAAGATCCTTCCGGACTGGTTCTTCCCTTCTCAAGAATTTGGGGGGCGCCAACGGTGCTAACCTAATCCAAGTTGAGGTGTAAAGAGATCCCATGAGATCCCAAGAGAAGTCTTGCTAAGGTTTCACAAGCAGCAGCTTGAAATCAAGAAGCAGCAGACTCTTGGCATCCAGAAGAAGCAGATTCCTTGCGATCAAGTGAATCAAGTCTTTGAGAGTCCTTGAGCTGGAACAGATGGCTTAGAAACGGCCCCCAAACCAGAGCCTTGGACATAGATGGGAATCGCATCGATTAAGCAACCATATGACCATATACATAATATTACATATATATATAATATAAATATATAGAAACACATGCCCAAAACTAACATTTTGGAGCTGCTGGTGCATGCTGGTGGGGAGGGCTTGAGGATATTAGAGATCCAGGTTCCAGCCGCAGGATCATCAAACACGGTTCTGCTTTGGCTCCGGTTCAGTCAGTGCTTTGGCTCAGGGTGACCTCATCCGAATGAATGTTTCAGTGTGACCTCATCCTTGGGCACGGTGGGACTTCGACGTTGGGCAACATCGGAACATCCATCCCTACGGCTCCAGTTATACCTCCTCAGAAGGCATTTGGACCCTCCAAACCCACCCGAAATAGCTTCTTAGAAGGTACTTGGAGCCTAGGGCCTAGGGCATGCATTTGCTCAAGTACGACCTACATGAAGCCAGCGGTGCTTCACCGGTTTTCCACCCAGCACATCCACCCATGTCCGCGCTGTCCCACCCATGTCCGCGCCGTCGCGCGGCGTGTTGAGCAGCTCCGCACGTGGAGGAAATTGGACGCCTTGAAGCAGAAGGAGGCGTACGAGCGGCAGGTGAAGGAGGCCGAGCGGAAGAAGGAGATGGCGCCTTGGCGCGAGCGTCCGGCACCCTTGCCCCTCAGATCGAGGGGCGGGTGCGGATGGAGGGGCGGGTGACAGAGAGGGAAGCACCTGCTTTTGTATGCTTTTGCCCATTGTTCACCAAGGCAGAGGGGACGGCAAGCGTCCATTTTTGGGAGGCCCAGGAATACGAGGTAGTGGGCTGCCTAGTGTCAAACTGTAGGCAATAGTAATTCTGCCATGTTGGATCGGATCTTTGAGGTCTAACTTCTTTGGAAAGGACCGTTGGCGGGGTTCCGGTTCCAGGGAGATGTCTTGGAAGAAAAAGACAGCGGATGTCCTGGACGAAGAGGACGGAAAACGCGTAGGTGTAGTAAACTGTGGATCATGCTGGTGCCCTTGAACCGCAACCAGCAGCCCCGCGGCCGCTCACGGCGGCCAAAAGAGTTTCTCAGCAGCTAGTCTGACCATAGCGCCCCAGCCACAGCTGCTGAGACACATGGCCGAGCCACTCCAAAACCGCCAGCCGCTGTTCTTCGGACTGGCTCTTCAGCGGCCAACCCATGCGCTGGCCGAGGTAGTGCGCAGGGGCATCGGGCCGCCTGCTGTGAACATCTGGCATTCCCTCACATTGCCAACTCAAGTGAGGCCACGTAGCGAAATTCTCCGGGCAGAAATCGCAGCGAGCATCTCAAGCAGGTGATACCACGGCACCAAGCAAGACCGATCCGGTGGCACCATCGCAACGATCCAAGAAAGTACGCAGCCATGCAAAGTCGACTTGCTGGGCTGCATGGCAAATGTCGGCATCCGAAGCCCTCCAAGCTTGAGCTTCGTGTCTAGCCCCCTTTGCCCATTTGGTCAAAGTGGCACCACGCCAGGCCTCACGGAGCTGGTGTGTGCCGTGAGCAACGTTTGCTTTCCCAGCGGCGGCTGGAATCACGAGGCGAAGGCGACTGACAGGGTGGAACCACCTCCAAGGTCCTTCCTCCTGCCATGCATCATCCTTCAAGATCACACGGAGCTTTGCCACCTGCGTACCAGGTTGCTTGCCCCACCTGCACGGGGGGTTGGCCATTCGAAGTCTGCACACACGGGCAAACAAGCGCTGCAGCAAACAAACAGGTGTTTTCCGCTTCAAGCTGTCCTTCCAAGGACCAAAGAATGAGCTTTGTGGAAACCCTGGTTCCCAGAGTGAGAATGGGGTGTATATTTTAAATAGGGTTACCTCATGGTACCTCCCAACCAATGGGTAGACAGGTCTTTGTTCCTTCTTCCACGGGGTCGGAGGTCTCCCTGGGAGGTCTCCCTGTTTGAAAAACCCACACCCGATAGAAGATCCACTGGGTCGTTGCCTCGGACGTGCCCAGGAGCGAGAGAAAGCGGAGAAGCGAGAACAGGCCGGAGATGGCTCGTGGTTCATGGTGGTTCCCAAATATGCCTTGTGCTCGGTTTCCTTCCGAAACTGAGAGATGATGTGTCAATCTTCAGGACGGCAAGGCTAGACCAGAGACCAGAGCCAGAGTCCCCAGTGAGTGGAGGATCTTTGGGGTCCGATCTTTGGCCCCCCTAGTGGAAACAGGGGAAAAAGGGGCATCCTTGACTGAAAACAGGGACACCTGAGGGAGTCAAAACTCGAGACCAGGGTCCGGAAATTCTTTTTGCAACATCAGGCTCCAGTCGACTGGTGAAAAATTGATGTCCCTTCTTCGGGGTCGAACTGGGAGGTCTCCCTAGGCTCCAGTAACTGGAGGTTCCCTGATCTCAAGTCGTTGGAGGTTCGTCGAACGCATGGAGATCGTTGTTTCGTCACCATGTAAAACGGGTCGTCGGAGTCACCTCCTGCGGAGAATCACGACCATACATGCATGGAACACCAGGATACTTATGATACTTACATGATCTTATATAAGTTAGGGTCATAAATGGGGTTATACTAATGTAATGTAATTAATGTAGACTCTTGATTCATAACTCTCCCCCGTTTGAATTGAACAACTTCTTGATAATCGGGGGGTTCCTTCATCCAGTCCGGATGGTTGGTCGGATGGTCTCTCCCTCACGGAAGGTCTCGGAAGGCAGGACCAAACCGCAAGGTCTCGGTCTCTGGATCCGACCGGCAGGAGTATCGGGAGCTTCAGGCACGCAAGGATGAGATGAAAGCTCAGGACTGGCGGACTGGCAATGCCCTGGCGGAAGACTGGCGGTGAAGCTGAAGCTTTGAACATGCAAACACATGCACGTCCCTTTGTTACTTTGGATTGCTTGTGGCTTTGGGCATTGAGTTTCCGGGAAGGGGCATTGATCAAGGCTGCAGTTCTTCATACAGTTGTATGGCTATAGCTAGTGCTATAGCTTGTGGATGCTTGTGGATGCCAGTCTGACCGAGTTCTTGAGTCCTTTGGGCCGTGTGTCTGACGGACCCTGTAGACAGAACTAGACACGACCGATGGACTGGAATAGATGCCGCCCCATTGACCCCCCGGACCACCCTAATGTAGGCAAATATGGCATACGTGGAGTGTTTGGGATATATATATATATGAATATGCATACAAGTAACAAATACAATTACATAGTATATTCATTGTTGACGTCGACGAGGACCAACGGCGGACAGATATCATGGCCCAGAAGCAAGAGCAGTTCCAGGAATACCTGCGAGAGAGGTGCTTGGACCAAGCAATATTTATGTTGTTTCTGATGCATGCGATGTATAGTGATCATGAAGGAGGCGTCATGAGCTGTGGAGGAGGTTGTAGCTACGCCCAATGCAAATTGTAGTACAGAGTCAGTGAAATTGAAAGAGAAGCAGGACCTGCTTCTCTTCAAGGGATGGGATGGGTTGAATGTGTGTTTGGGCTCCAAGATGTATTGAATGAGGGGAGGAACTCTCCACTTCGAGTCCAAACATGTGCAAGCGTTGTCTTTTCTCAAAGGGTCTGTACATCCTGCAGGTACCCAATTTGAAAACATATCATTCATACACCACAAAGAGGAACGTGAAGGGAGCCCGGCCCCCTATCGTTTGTGTTCATTTGGACTTCAACACTGAGCAGTAGGTGCTTTCGAGGCTGCCCAGTGCCGGGAGAAACACGATGAAATGGGTGGGTGGCCGAGGAAAGAGCAGCGAGACATGCGCATCTACAATAGCATTCTGGCCAACCAGGCGCCGGGGGCACGCACTCAGCTGGACCTGGTCGTGCGGTGTCCTTTTCTTTCGGGGGGGATGTCTCCTGATCATTTTGGGGGGGGCGTGCGCCACACGTGACCGTGACCACTTCACTTGGGTCAAGAGATGCAAAGAGCATTCTGAATTCGACAAACAAGAACATGTGTGCGGGACCTCAGCCACGGCTATGTATAGGTTTGTGTTGCAGCTGGTGGTATTGTTGAGGATGACTTTGGAGAATTAAAAAGGTGAATAAAAGGTAAAGAAAAGGTATCTGCAAAAACTGAGACAAGAATCCAACATAAGTAGCAAAGCTGGGAAAAAGGTACTACAGTGCGTGCATTTGGGAGGCAGTTGTGTACAGATGCGCCCTGACGGACAGACCCACCTGGCTCAAAGAGCAAAGATTTCTTTCTTTTCTCTCCATCTCACTCCTTTCTCTCTCCTCTCTCTCTCTCTCTTTCTATACGTCTAAGGTCCGTCTATCCGTGTTCGTGTGGGCTTGCCGGGTTACGGGAGCAGCCTGGTATCGAGTTGACTCTGGCCATCTCACGCTTGGGAATTGGTAAGTGCTGGTGCACACCCTCAACAGCCACCTTTTTTTCACTTTTTGAAAACCATCAAAAACTCGAGGAAAAGGTGAAAAAAGGGTGAAAAAAAGTAGAAATAAAGGTGATGCAAAAAGGTGAAGAAAAGGTGCGCCCAGTGGCAAAACCAGAAGTAAGCCCAAGTAAGTAAGTAGGCTGGACCCAGATCCAGGTACAGTTAGGACAAGTCTAGGAGTGTAGGACTTGACTAGGGCAAGGGCAGCAGCAAAAGCAGTTGAACGCATCTCTGCACTTGGACGTGTGCCTCTTTCAAGGTCCTCTCCTTTTTTTACGTAGCTGTTCCAGGGCGACCTTTTCTTCTCCTTTTTTTTAGCTTTTTGCAATCATCTTTTTTTCACCTTTTTTTCACCTTTTATATTTTTCAAGGTTTTATATGCAATACCCAAACTTGGACAAGTCAAGTATAGGTGACAGGACTGGCGACCGTTGGATTTGATTGGACACCAAATGACAAAACATTAATCAAAATAAAGGTTATATATAGATGGTTATAGATTCGGTCATGGTTAGGTCAGGTAGGTGACAGCAACAATCTAAGAATTTAAATCCGCCAGACGCGTCCATTCCCTTCACCACTCGGGCCGGCCGGACCGTTTCCACCCGAGGAGTTGGAGCAAAAGCGTCGGGATGACTTTGAGAAGAAGCAGCAACCTGGGCTGATTTAGCTGACGTTGGTTCTTTTTTTGGCTGATGTGTTTTTCTATCGTTTTTCGCTGAACCCAAGGTGAATCACCCCTTCTGAGGGAATCGTTTTTCGTGTGTCCTTTTTTCCCAGGACTTCCGAACCACCCAGCCGATCCCCAGGCAAGAGGACTTCGCCCGTGAGGAGCGGCTACTACAGGTACAGGCCAAGCGTCACTCGGTGCGAAGGAGGATGGGGCGGAGGGTGCGGGAGGAGAGGCATCAAGTGGAAGAGGCCTGGTGATCCGGACACCTTTGGACAGAACATGTATGATTCTCAAATGCAGTGTTTGAGATGCTTAGCTAGGAAGGTAACTGATCTTCTTCTGATTTTGGAGAACAAAGCAGGTCCCTCGAGGATTTCTATCATTATACTCTGGGGCTCCAAGTGTCTTCTGAGAATGTGTTTGGGGGTGGGTTTAGAGGGTCCAGTCATACCTTCAGAAAAGGTACGACTGGAGCCCTACAGGGATATAGCTTTTATCAGCAATTACACCCCGGAAGACTAACATAAACCCTGAAAACCACTGGTTGGTAGAGGAAAACACTCTTCCAGGGGGCCATTGTCAGGGTCTATGTTAGTTATCGGGAGTGTATCAACAATTCTCAGCATCTCATGTAGAACAGTTGGCTGCGATGGGGCACAACCACTCCTTATTGGGGCAGAACCGATGGTCTTTCCTTGGGAATTCCTTTCGAAGACACCGCTCAGACCGAACCCCGGCTTCCTCCGCCCAGTCGAAGACCGCGTCTCCGCCCTAACTCCGGACGGTAAGGTTCAGAGGAGACGGCCAAGAAGCAGTTCCGTACCCTCATGAAGCGACAGATGATCAAGGAGGAGCCTTTTTGCCCTGGGTTTTCGGAGGGTGCTGTGCCGCGCTGGGCGCATGGATTTGGTGGATCCATCCAGGCCATCAACGAACCACCGGGGTTCTATGATGGATTTCGGTCCGATTCACTGGTTTTCGGTCCGCCGGTGGCGGCGACTGAAGCACAGTGCCATCCACACCTTCTGAAAGTCTTGTGGTTGAACATGGGTCCTTGGACACCGATCATGGGCTCAGGCTCCCTGCTTTTTAGTACAGAGCAAACCGTGGAGAAGCGGAGAGATCGGGAGAAGGCCACATTGAGATGGGTGAAGATGGGTGAAGCAAAGTGAATAGTGGACATAGTGGTCGCCATAATACATCCGAATCACCCAATCGTTGAAGACACCAGGGTGCCAGTGGGAAGCACTCTACAGTCAACCTGGACATGAAGGGCGGGGTGGATGGGTGTGGGAGTGGGGTATGGAGTGTTGTGTGACTTCTCTTGGCCGATGCCACTCCAGCGCTTCCAGGAAGCCATCCGCAAGGCGGAGGAGCGAAGGACGGCGATCTTGGATCAACAGGAGGAGCCCACGTCGCCCACGACGACGTCCCACAACGGGGCGGGGGCGGGGAAGGTGGAGCGTTCGAGTGCCAAGAGGAGGTGAGAGGCTCCAGAGAATCCAGTGGCTGCATGAGGTGGATTTGTTTTGTTTTTTCAAACCTTTGTTGGAGACTATCATGTAGACATATATGTAGACTCCTCAGACTCTTGATAAATAACACCCATGTATACATGCCATGTTCTTTTTGTTCATCGCTCCTCCAAACATGAGACATGACCTCCCTCCGGAGGAACCCTCCATCGTCCTCCTTCGGGGAGAATCCGCGCAGGAGACGGAGTACCGACTCATGGAACACGAAGCCAAGAAGGCCCGGTGACGACATCACCGAGCAGTGAGTGAGTGAGTGAGTGAGGGAGTGAGTGAGTGAGCGAGGGAGTGAGAGAGAGAGAGAGTTTTTGGGTGAAGTTTCTAAATTGGGCAGCATTGATCTGATTATTGTGACATATTGTGACATGATTTGAGTGTTGGAGTGAATGAACAGTTCTGGTCCTTCTCATCTCAAAGAGAAGGACCGCTGGAAAGCGGAGCATCCGCATGTTTGGCTGAAGCAGCCCGTTAGTTGGTCGGGCTCCGTCACGCCTGAAAGCCTGATGCAGTCGTGCAGGGGGGCCCATGGCGACATGAAACCCAGACCTATTGGCCGAAACAAAAAGCACCGGTGAACCCTGGTGATAGATGTCTTAATGAATGATTTGCGTGCTGTTCAGGAGAGATACTTGGACTTCAAGCGCGAGTTGGACGGCCTGCGTTCCAAGAACAAGGACGCAACTGATCACCAAGTAGGCCACTCGAAGCCTGTTCTGGGATACATCAACTGCTAGGGGGGCCAACAAACCATCAAACACCTGCTTTTTCCTAACAACATTTGTGTATACATGTGATCCTTGATTTTTCATGGGTTTGAGGGCCGTTGGTGGTGACTGGAATGCCAACAGCTTTGACAGCATCATGCCAACGGCCTTGATAGTAAAGAGACACACTTGGTCAGGTCCGCTCCTCTTTTTCCAACCCGACCCGCCACAACCCCGCAGGAGATCAACGTGGAACGCCAGAGGCGCCGGGAGGAGCACGAGCGCGAGACCATTGCGGACGCCGTGAAGAAGAAGGACGAACCAGCGCGATGCCGCCGCGACCCGAACTCGGGGGCGAAACGGGGGGCCTGTTGGACGTCCACCACCGAGCTACTCAGCTACGAAACGGGAAGGTGGAATGCGAGGTGTGATGGTGGGTGGTAGATGGTCGGTGGACCTGTGAACCACCCCCCGGGCGGATCTGCCGGAGAAGTCGAGGCCTTTGCAGGCAGCTCCCAAAGGCGAGACAATGCGGACCCATGACCTGCATCATGAACAGACCCACCAGCTATCATGACGTCATGAAAGTATGTGGGCATGACGCCGAACTGGAGTTCACAAGTCACAAGTTCACATCCTCAAGCTGCTTCCGGACCTGTGTCAAACGTTTGCCTGTCGTCGCGAGCGCGGGGTCTTCATCATCCGAACCGACGGTCAACATTACACGACCCCCAAAACCATTGGCTTTGCTAAGTTGGTCAGGGCCTGGAGTTCCTGCTGAAAACTGCCTGAAGTGGTTTTCACTTGGGGCCGCGTGGCGCGTTGGACGAAGGATAGGATTTGTATGGATTTGTTGGTTTAAGCCACATGGGCCGTGTGCCGCAGCCTCGCTGTTAAGCATCATGTTCATGAAGAGATGGCATGAATATAGCAACCAATGGCTGAGTGCATTTGCATGTGCACATGAAGCCAGACGCCACCCATTGTTCCAGAATTTTCAAGGGTGATGGGATGGGTTTCCAGCCTCGGCACAACTGGGCCTATCAACCACCCGAACTGGGGGTGCTTTTGGTTGTTTCTGTTACTAATCGTTTGGGCAGATAACCAGACCGGCCTGCCACATCCTATTGCTGTACGTAGTGGCCTATTGGAATTTGTTTTGCCTTACCCAGGAACAGTGGATGATGACCTTTAACAAGTTTATACTGGTCCCCAGTGGGTTGGGAGTTGTTTCCACATACACTGCCCGTTCGGTCCGTTCCACAACTCTTTTTGCTAAGTCTTAACCTTTTTTTGCTGGCAACATAGACTTGCATGCATGGGAGGGATTTGCTTCCCAAATCCAACAGGGTGGAAAGAGGTGAACCTTACTAGGGCCCTAGGGGAACAGCGAGAGGAGTCAGCCCATCAAACTGAGGCTCGAACGTTTAGAGGGCGAACGTTTGTCCGCCCGAAGAAAGAAGAGGTGTCCGCTGGAAGCAGACGGCGTGGTATACATCTTCCATATATATATATATATTTTGGTGGATTTGGGTCCCACAGCTATGAACCACAGATCATATGTGATGAATATGTGACTGATTTTTCCACAGCCACAGGTCCTGGTGACACACCAGTGGTATATTTTTTTTTTCTATGAAGCCGGGCGTTTCCGGCACCAAATCGGGTCTACGTCGGACGTCGCTTGGGATCAGCTTGGCTCTTTTGCGTCTCAGAGGGCCATGTCGAGTGTCCAGTGGGCCTTGGAAGAAGTGCAGAAACAGCAGCAGGAATCTTTGAGCAGCGCCTCCCCAGAAATTGAGCCGCGTTCTCGTTGCGCACGTACTGGCACAGGGGCAAGGAGACTAATATGGAAAGGGGCAGGAAGGGGTTGGAAAATGTTGCAGCTGCGTTGTCTCAGTGGGCTCGGTGCCAATCTTGGTACTAGATCAGCCGGAGGTAGAACTCTCCCTCATGTTGGATTTGGCGGGCGTTTCTCACCCAATTGTAATTCTTCAATCAATTGCCAGCCCTGTGACAACCCACATGTTTGGATCTCTTAGCCTCAGCTTCTCGGGTGCAAAGCAGCTGGACCATTCGACGCATTGTCTCAATTCAGCTGGTTTCGTGGCGAGCGCAGAGAAGATTCAGGACTGCACCCTCCACACTTCATGGGTTTGGTTGGCATGGGTTTGGTTGGAAGTTTTTTTTTTTTTGGTTTACTTACCTTACTTGCGGATTTTTACTGAAGAAGCATGAAGAAGGTTGCATTGACCGAATTTCTTTATGTTTTGCTGATCGAATTTGTGGTGCATTCCCTGGGGTCATCCATGTAGATGCAGATGCCACCCACCAATCGAAGTCACCAGCGGAACGGATCAGGGTGGATCCGCCCCGGTTGGTTGCCAGGTCTCCTCTCTTTGGACTCGATAAATTGTGGAAGGGGCCGAAAAAAACGACCGTCATGAGGTCTTCACCAGTGACCTGGCAAGTGAGAGTGTTGGTATTGGCTGGGAAACACATCTAGGTTGTGTTTTGCTTCCATGTTTCACTGAGGTTTGGACTTGCTGCAGCGACAGCATGGTCAGTGGCAAGAGGCCATCAAGGACTTGTTGACACGCCTGGAAGGCAATCCAGAGCTTTGTAAGGCATGCCACTTGGATGGTCGTAATGTCTTTGAGGTAGTATCACTTGTGGGTGGGCCGGTCATCATTTTAAAGCAGTTGGTCTATCACAATGTCGAGACATTTCAAACACCAATGAGGAAGTGTGGCACCACTGAAGTCCAGGAAAGTTCAGATCACTTTGACAGTCAGACCATGTTTTAATTGTGTTTGATAGTCGACTATTGAGTCCCAGGGTAGCTTGAAATTGTGGGACCAGAAATGGAGATGCTTGGGTGGTTCTGCCGAGCCTGAGAACTGGGATGCCTGGCATCATGTGTGCATCAGACCACTTGGCATCGAATGGCAGGCTCACAAGGAAACCATCCTGGTCAAGGAGAATTTTCCAACCTCCAACGCCCCAAAACTGAGGGCATCTATGTAGCCCCGGGTAGGGGTCCTACCCGGCGGGGGCCCAAAACCATCAAGCACCTGATTTTCTCCGGCGGCCCTATCATTAAATGATATATTCCAGCTTCCTCCAAGTGACCTCTTTTTTCATTGCCTAAGTGACCTTTTATGGGCCCAAGTGACCTCAAACTGGGATATCAAAAGGTCACTTGACATAAATATTATATTAACATATATTAACATGTACATCTTAAGTGACAAAAAAGGTGTTTACAATTGGACACCTATTTGTTGCATGGCTTTCACCAAGCACCTCGTCTTTGGGGGGTTACCTACTCGACCCCTCCGGGCTCCGCGTGTCTGACCGAGGCATCCCTCCCGGTGAGGGAACCCGAGCCGAGCACGATGGAGACGAGCAGCCGAGCACGTTGGAGCTGGTTCGACGGGATACGGCGCGAAGCATGCAAAGCTTAAGAAGACTTGGCAGCGGATGAAGTTGTTTTTTTCTGTTGGTTTGTTGTTGTTCTTTGCGCGTTCTTGTGTTTGATTGTTAAATCCGGGGGTGGATGGGGCTGAGAGGTTTTGATTTGCACTTAAGAACGCCCGCTCCGCGCACCCAAAACTAGCCAAAACCATTGAACGGGCCCGAGCCCGATGTTGACAGGGGCCGCTCGGGCTCCTGAGTCGGTAGGTTTCAATGAGGTGTTCTCTCTTTTTTTGTTTCAAGAGCTGGTCAGTGAGGACAACCGCTGTCTGGACAGATGGGAAAGCTTTTGGAAGAAGTGTGGCATGAAGCTTGGACTGATTGGATGTGTCGCACGTGTCGCCTGTGTCGCAGCGCGGTGCGCACTGCGCAGACGACGTGCGAATGGAAGTTCCCATCCATTTTTCATGGTACCACGTGCGTTATACATCCAAAGACCTTGATGTTGTATTGAACCATGGGCAGGTGTCATTTGCAAAGATGGCTTGGTGGTGTTTTCATGTTGAAAAACCCGGAGAAAAAAAGGTGTATATATATACTTGCATCTGTTCTTTTGGCTTTCAAGGTTTCCGCTCTTTGTGGCGGTAGATCCACCGGTCTATTCCACAGCCTGGCATGCTTCGTCCTTTGGCAAGTTGGCATGCTTCGTCCACTCTTCACACGCTTGACGTGTTTCACAGTCACTCAAGCCTGAGCGGACTATCTTTGCACAACTTTCTTGTGTCGCAGCACCAGCTGCAACAAGTGTCCAATCAGCTGGGGCCACAATCACACACACAGCCACCCAAAAAACAACACCTGCCAACCTCTTGCTTGCGCCCAAGTGTCGGGCATCACGCGACCCGGTGGACCGGTGGACCGGTACCGTCCGCTCCTCCGCTCCTGCCCCCGCGACATGTTGATCAACAAACGTCAAACACACCCAGGGCATCCAGGCAAACCACTATAGCTGGTAACCAGTGGTCCCAAAGACTAACACCATAGACCGAACGAATCCCTGGTTCCTTATATATACTGGTAACTGGGATGCACAGTCAACACAAAACAACTGCACTCCTCCGGGCCCTCTCAACATGCACACCCAATTCTGCTGTTTTGCCTGAGGATGAGACCGTGGCTCCACCCAAGACGACCTGGGAGGAGCGCCAAGCGCGGATCGCGCGCATGGTGGAGTCCCAAGCCTTTGAGTACTCCACAGGCGCGGCGCGCACTGGCGCGCGCGCGCGGATATGTCCCGATGGAGTCCTCGGTCGGCGCTGTTTCAGAGGGTCCGTGGCGAAGTGGTTCAGAACAACAGCACGTACAGTTCGGAACTTGGTCTCTTTCGAGATCTCAAAGAAGAGGAGAACATGGAGAACTGCTTCAATCTATCAATCTATCGCACTCGTCGAGGTCCCCTTTTGTTTGATGAGACCTAGCGAACCACTGCACGGTTGCTGGGGTTGGGTCATTTTGTGATTAGGCAGAGTTTCCGTCAGTTTCTTTTTGGTTGTTGTATAAAATTATGCACGGACGATGTGTCAGTGTGCCAGGGAATCCTTCCAAGACAACCAGGTCAACCGGAAAGGGATCAGGACAAATACCTAGGCAGCTAGGCAGCTAGATGCTGCTCGGTATATCCGATCCGCTCGGTCAGGTGTGCTGATCCTGGTGAATATTGTTCCTGGGTGGCAGAGATCGAGCCCACCACGTCGCGAGTTGTGACGTGTAGGTGACGCACCGAAGTCCACGTCGCAAAGCCTAAGATTTTAAGATGAATGAGCCAGTGCCAGGGCCATTGCCAATTGGACTTGGTAAAACCTCTTTAGACCACTCACGCACATGACTGGTCAGCCAAGTGAGTGCACACTGCCGACGAAAAAACCCACAGCACGACCGATCCACCGGGCCATCGTCTTCGCCACCGTTGCCATGTGCAGAGTGGGTGGGATACCCGGCCTGAAAAGAAGGCAGCACGGTATACCAAG